AATGGGGTTTGGGACCAAAAATTGTATAAAGAAGTGGACTAAAGCTACGTTCAGACTGCAGGTCACCTCTGTGTGACCTGATCTGATCTGTTAATGACAGTCTGAATGACACATGTACGATTTTTTCAAATGTGACCCAGGCCACTTGGTTATGTGCTCCTAAAACCAGTACATATCTATCAAATCTATATCAAACATATCTGATCTTTTGACATGTGACTTCAGTCTGAAGGGCCAGGTCACATTCATCCCACCTACACGTCAGACTCGGAGTCTAGTCAATGGAAATATTTGGGGGGATGGCTGTATTTAGACCAAATTGGAGGGGTCTTATTGGAACTGGGCGGTTTTTGAAATGATTGCCAAAGAAATGGCCGAGCACAGCAGACAGTCCTGGCTCCAGTGTCAACGAAAAATAAAGAGCCTGTGAACCAATTACAAGTTTGAGTCTTTAACTCAAACAAACAAACTGACCGTGGACGTGTAATCTGTCCATTTTAGGAAGAACTGGACCATATTTTGGGAGACAAGCTCAGTGTTTAGGCTACTTCCGTAAACACTAAGCACGCTCGCTGCATGTGACATCGGCATGACCTCCAATGGGTATGCAGGACATTTTTGGGGCATTTAAAGTTCACACTGGAGATCACATCTAGTGCCTCCACTCAATTTAATTTCTCTCCAGCGACTAGGTCTGGAATTGGAATCCACTAGACGGTTTGCAAAAACATCGGAAGTGCGAGTTTGGGCACCACCCAATCAGTAAAGAGTCATATATTCTGTGTTGGTAATGGTTCACAATATCTAGGATTTAAAGCCGGAACAAAGAGAATGTTTGATGAATTTTATCAAGGGGAAAAACGTTATTGCCCTTCTTCCTACGGGATTTGGAAAAAGCTAAATGTACCAGAGAGCCCCGTTATTGGTGCATTACATACGTCACGACCAAATAGCAGCGATTAGTTAAATGAAAAAAAGTACCCGCCTACAGTTGAGAGAATGAATTCTAACAGTACGATGTTTCTACGAAGTGAAACCGTCTGATGAATCAGGCTAATACAAGTCACATTTAATTGGAAATGAGAATGGTTGCGCAAAAAAATCAGATTTCAACAAAAAATCCGAATTGAGCCTTAAGCCCTGAAGTCTGAACATAGCCTAAGCCTGTGTGACATGCCCATAGTGTTTGTTTGGGGCCAAGATTTATATTAGGAATAGGAATTCATTAACGGACAAAACAGCAAAATAAAAACATCAGGATCATGTAGAACGGGTTAATATGAACATTCTGAGAGCAAAATGACGAGGCTCACAGCAGCAGATACAGAGAGAGGAGTGACAATTGGAAACAGAGACGAAGGAGCCGGGAGCGTCCCAATGCTCACAGTAGAATGGCTCCATTACTTAAACATGAACATCAGTCTAATGTTCTTAACAAACTTCCTGTTTATGGTTCAGATCGGACTCATGTGTCGCTGTATAAACCATCAGGGCACATTTTCTCAAAGTGTTGGAGGACTGAACACAGAAGGAGTTTACATGCTGACAGTGAGGTGGTAATAAAGAGATGCAGGGAGCCTCCAAATGTGCAAATGTGCTGTGGGGCAGGATTACAGAAGTGCACTACCATTCTGTACCCACGAACACAATCAAACTCAGTCATAACTTAGATGGGGTGACTAAAGCTGTACACAAAATACATCAAAAGTTACAAAAACAGTAAAACTACTTCAGATAATGTAATGGTTCATATTACATTTTCCACAAGACGACATGAGACACAAGAGAATGAGGCAAGACGGAGATTTTGACATTATTTAAAACAAATTATGTAGTTCAGTTCACAATTTTGGTGTCACAATTCTTTTGTAGTGTATCTGTACTTTACTGAAGTTAATTTTACAGCGGATACTTTTTACTTTTACTTCACTGCATCTGAGAACGTGTATCTTTACTTTCTACTCCACTACATTTTAGCTCTTAACTAAAAAGTTAAAAGTACTTTTTTTTTAAGTATTTAAGTATATCCTTTTCTTTTATGGTTTGAGACATGCTGAAATGGCCTGGGCTTTATTCTTACATTTAATTTGAGTTAACGTCTCAACTTTGAACAAACCAAATACACAAAATCAGCTAGAAAAATTAAATCAAGTGAATCACTTAAAATTTGTTAAATTTTAGAGTCTTCTTTTTTCCTTAAATTGCTCTAAAAATCTCTGCAAAATACTTTTATGTTTTACTCTTCAAGTATGTTTAAACAGACTTGGGGGTGGGATTAAATACATTTTCTTTTTCTTTTTTTTGTTGTTGTTGTGTTATTTCTGCTATGATTTCATTAATGTTATGTGTTCCATTGTAAAAGAATGTACATTTCTTAAATACATAAATCAGCTAATTCAGTTTCGTTAATACTTTTACTTACTGCGGGTTAACTATGCCCATTTATATATACAGTCTATAGTTATGAGTTTGCATATCCAGACTGATATCTCTCTGTGTTTTTTATGCAGAGTTATATCAGATTTATCACCTCTCCCTCCGTCGTGTTTCGAAACAGAACCAAACATGATCGTCCAATTAGATTTGTTTATTTTAGTGACGCGTGTGAAACAAAGGAGCTCATTGGTCGCGTAACATTTACAAACAAAATCACATTTCTCTCCCCTCAGATGAACAGAGTTTAGTGCATTCCGTCACTGATTCTGCAGAGAGGAGTGATGTTTTCAATTTTTTTCCCTTGTGAACAGCTATATTTCTTTTGATAGTGACAGCCAGTGCATGTCTTGATTGGCTAATCCACCTGTCAATCAGTCATAAAGTATTGAAGTATAAATCTGTATTTGGGATCCGAGGCAATGTTGGAAAACGAGCTGGAGTCACAGTAAGATTTGACATACATTTAAATAAATAAATAAACTACTAAAATCACTTCTTTTTCTTTTTTTTTTTTTATGTTCTGCCAGTTGAAATGTCTTATGAGAGAGTTCAGTTTGCAGTGGGGGCTCTGGGATGTTTGCAGGATGGAAATTATTTATTTTTTTTTTGCTTCAGAAAGTGGTGCCATTATTCAACACCAAAGACACCAATTTCTATCTTGTTTCTTTAATTGTTGTCAGTTAAAAGGACTTCAAAACATACGATGAATAAGGCAAATCTGTTTCTTTCAAAACCAGTGAGTCTTCATTGGAGTTATATAGGCCCCTGCGCTCCTTCTCAAATTAGAACATCAAACTCTAGAACATGAACTCAACCTACAGGCGAAGGGTCTTTGAGTTCCACTTCAAATAAGGTCAGAGAAGATTTGAAGTTATATTTTGATGCATTTATTTATTTTGAAGCCATAGCGTGTGTTGTTAGCGTGATGTTGTGATGAGTCAGAGATGGAGACGGTGAACGGGGGCTGTGAGTAATGCAGCTTTAATGAACTCGCCCTGAGCCTGCACTGCAAAACATGAAACCTACTTGGTCAAAAGTGAATTCAGGTATTTTCTACTGACTGTTAAAGCTTTTTGTTACATTTTTAATTTGATTTTTTTTTTAAGCTCAAGTTAGTTCTAGTAAAGGGTCCACCACCTGCTTGTCTCCATGTTATTTCTTTGCTTGGGATGTTCTGTATGCCACTAAACCTTTTTTTCTTGCTATTTTTTTTCAGTTTCAGGTGATTATATTGCCATATAATACCTTTCAGAAACAATTTTCACTGTGCATGATCTGACCTGTGACATGCACCATCCGCTTACAGTTCATTTAAAATCTCATGGTGCAACATTCCAGACAAAGCAATAATATTCACATGGAGAAAAAGTGGTGGACTCTCCACCAGAAGTTACACAGTGCACCTTTAACAGAACATAAGGAACATAGCCATGTCAAAAACTATCCTAATGCATGTAGCAGCATTAGGATAGTCTTAAACGGCAAATATTACGCTGTTTTCTGATCTATGTTATAATGTTTTCTCATCACAAACACACCTGGAGTTGTGTTTTGTTTCATTCACACAAGTTTAACACACAAACTCTAAATATTTAGGCTCAATTATTCTCTCTAACAGAAAACACTCTGTTCCACCTTGTGATGTCATGTGGTCATCAAGCGCAAACCTACACAAAAACTTTATCAATCATTTGTGCTCCGTTTGTGTTGCAGAAAGTTTCATTTGTACTGTTTTAGCTTAGTTTTTTAGTTTTTTATATATCTAAAATTTTTGTTTTAGTTTTTATATTTCTAAAATGATTATTTATTATTTCTTTATTTTGATGACATTTCCACTGAGCTGTTCAGCTCATTCCTCAAAACTAGTGAAGATAAATGATCTCAGGCTGTGGAAAAGTCTGTGTTATTACAGAAAATATGAATCAAAAGCAAGTTACTAAAGACTGACACAGACTTTTCCACAGCCTGAGAATGTTTATCTTCACTAGTTTTGCTGAGTTTTGCTAAATCCGCTGTCGTCAGCTGAGCGGAAATGATATCATATAATTTCCGCAAAATAATAATAAATAATTTTAAAAATATACTTGCAAAAATGAAAACTGTCACAGCATAAAACAGCAAAAAAAAACTACAACTGTTTTGTATCATGTTCTGCCTGTTTTGAGGGTATTTAACATTCTAGTGAAAGTGTATGGAGTTCAAAAACACAGTGGAGCACTTTATGTGTTACCACGTGACATCACAAGGTGGAAGAGTGTTTTCTGTTTGAGAGAAAGCCTAAATAAGCAGGGTGTGTGTGTTAAACATGTGAATGAAACAAAACACAACTCCAGGTCTGTTTATCATGAGGAAACAACATGTTAGATCAGAAAATAGTGGAATAGAAGCTCTTTAAGTAGTGTTTTATATATATATATATATATATATATATATATATATATATATATATATATATATATATATATATATATATATATATATATATATATATATATATATATATATATATATATATATATATATATATATAGTTTAGTAGTATACATTCTTAGCTGTTGTGTTACCTGTGTGAAGAAGGGCTCGTAGATCTCCACTCCTTTGTCGGACCCTTGGGTGAGCACCTCTCTGCCTCGGTGCCAGCTGTAGCGCACTGGGGGGTTGGAGTTGGCCACGCAGCGCAGAAAGACGGTGCGCTCGTAGTAGAACTGCTCCTTGGCCTCCCCGATGCTCTGGTGCACCGTCACTATGGGGTCGTCCAGGTCTGAGGGCACAACAGACAGGAGATATCAGTGTACATGCGTTTAAAGATCCATACTTTAAATGAGCGCTCATTAAAAACACATTAGGAGGCTGGACCGGCTCAATGTGCTAATGAGCTAATGGGTCAGGAGTCAGTCTTCTCATATCAGTACATTATAAACCTATTTTAAGTCCATTTTATTCCTTTTGTATGTCTTTTTTTTTTTTTTTTTTTTTGGCATCTTGTGTGATATTTAACTGTTTTTATATTAAAAAGGCCCATATTATAATTTTTTTTCTCATGACATGTAGATCTGTAGATGTGTTTTGTTTCACTCTCACATGTTTAACAGACCCTGCATATTTAGGCTGAGTTCTTCTGTCAAATAAAAAAACACTTTGTTCCACCTTGTGATGTCATGTGGTAATACAGGAAAGTGCTCCATTGTGTTTTTAAACTCCATACACCTTGACTAGAATCATTTGGAAGATTTCAGCTCTGGAATTGCCAATCTTTACTGAACCAAAGGTAAGAGGAGCTGTTAACTTGAAAACTACAGCTTCATGACATCACAAGGTGGAACAGAGTATTCAGAGCGTTAACAATGTAGAAAGACTAATAATAAAGGGTTACTCAAACATGTGTGAATGAAACAAAACACAACTCTGGGTATGTTTTTAGGAGGTAACAACATTATAACATGGCTTAACACTCACAAGAGTAAGTTTTGTGTAATATAGGACCTACAAAAGTATAATTCTGATTGGAGCAGGGTCGCCTCTCCATAGATCTGACCTGTAAGATGGTCTGGTGATTAGGGGAGTGCAAAAATATTGAAAAATCTATATACTGTATCATTATCATGTGATAATACAGTATCGATATTGTGGGCTGCTGTACCGATATATCCTAACTTGTATTTTTTGGTATATTTTATAAAATTATTTTCTTAGAGCTACAGTTTTGTTGTTTGTTCTGAGGAAGGAAATTTGTTTATGCAACATCTGACATTTTAACTGGTTTAATGATTAAAATGTTTGTGTTTCATATGAACTTTGCACAAGAAGTGATTTAACAAAGACTTTTAGTATTACAGCTGTGGTTTAGCCTTTATTTCTTATTGAACTATATTGAATTGGATTTGAAAATATATCATATTGAATCATATCGAATCGAAAACTCACTGTATCGAGATATATATCGTATCATAGCCTATGCATCGAGGTATGTATCGTATCATGGCTTATGCATCGAGATATGTATCATATCGTGACCTATGCATCGAGGTATGTATCATATCGTGACCTATGCATCGAGGTATGTATCGTATCATAGCCTATGCATCGAGGTATGTATCGTATAATGGCTTATGCATCGAGATATGTATCATATCGTGACCTATGCATCGAGATATGTATGTGACCTATGCATTGAGATATGTATCGTATCGTGACCTATGCATCGAGGTATGTATGTATCGTGGCCTATGCATCGAGGTATGTATCGTATCGTGGCCTATGCATTGAGATATGTATCGTATCGTGACCTATGCATCGAGATATGTATTAGTCTATGCATCGAGATATGTATCTATGCATCGAGTATATCGTATCGTACCTATGCATCGAGGTATGTATATCATGACCTATGCATCGAATATGTATAATATATCGAGGTATCGTATCTATATTATGTATCGATCGTGCCTATGCATCGAGGTAGTATCGTGGTATGTATTGATCGGGCCTATGCATCTATGTATGTATCGTTATCATTGAGATTGTATGTATCGTGACCTATGCGTATGTATGTATGCCTATGCATCATGAGCATCGTATAATATTGCCTATGCTGTATCGTGACCTATGATATGTATCGTATGTATGTATCGTATCGTGGCCTATGCATCGAGTATGTATCGTATAGTGACCTATGCATCGAGATATGTATCGTATTGTGACCTATGCATCGAGTATGTATCGTATCGTGCCTATGCATCGATATGTATCGTATCGTGACCTATGCATGATCTACTATGATCGTATGTATCCTATGCCTATGAATGTATCGTATCGTACCTATGCATCGAGGTATGTATCCTATGCATCGAGTATGTATCGTATCGTGTACCTATGCATCTGTATCGTGCTATGCATTGAGGTATGTATTGTATCGTGGCCTATGCATCGAGGTATGTATCGTATCGTGGCCTATGCATCGAGATATGTATAATATCGTGACCTATGCATCGAGGTATGTATCGTATCGTGACCTATGCATCGAGATATGTATAATATCGTGACCTATGCATCGAGATATGTATCGTATCGTGACCTATGCATCGAGGTATGTATTGTATCGTGGCCTATGCATTGAGATATGTATCGTATAGTGACCTATGCATCGAGGTATGTATCGTATCGTGGCCTATGCATCGAGGTATGTATCGTATCGTGGCCTATGCATCGAGATATGTATCGTATCGTGACCTATGCATCGAGGTATGTATCGTATCGTGGCCTATGCATCGAGATATGTATCGTATCGGCCTATGCATCGAGGTATGTATCGTATCGTGGCCTATGCATCGAGATATGTATGTATCGTATCGTGATCGAGTATGTATCGTATGTGCCTATGCATCGAGATATGTATCGTATCGTGACCTATGCATCGAGATATGTATCGTATCGTGGCCTATGCATCGAGGTATGTATGAGTGATCCATTCTCCGTCCATATTTATGCAATCACACCACAAACTCTGCTGAGTAAGTAGAGACAGCTTTCCTCCATTTGAGTTAAGTCACAGGTCCATCAAGATCCAAGAAACCCCACAATATTTGATGAGCAGATACAAAATCTTTATTCTTTACACATTTGCAGTCTTGCAGAAAGCTCAGCCAGAGAATGTGGTTACAGATCTGACCACAAGGGTCAAAAAGCTGCTGCCGATCAATAATAATTCTGCATAAGCCTCATATAATCCAGGTCTCTTATGAGGGTTTAAAATGCTTCCATAAGATACTACTCCATGTTTTAAATCCACTCACCAGAAAGAGAATCAACTTTGAAATTACACTATTTTCTGATCAGTGTAAATGTTGTTTTCCTCATTAAAAACAGACCTGGAGTTGTGTTTTGTTTCAGTTATACATGTTTAACACACAAATCCTGCATATTTAGACCTGGAATTGCCAATATCTACAAAACAAAATGTAAAAGGAGTTGAAAACTACCGCCTCATGACATCACAAGGTGGAACAGAGCATTTTGAGCTTTGGAGATGTAGAGTGTTTAATAATTTAGGATTACTCAAACACATGTGAACGAACAAAACACAACTCCAGGCCTTTTTTTGAGCAGGTAACAACATTCTAACGTGTCTTAAAACTCACGAGAATCAATTTTACATAACATAGGACCTTTAAAGATGGATTATGTGACTTTTCTGGTGTTATTACTTTGCCGAGGATTGCACAGTATGACATTATCTCATCAATCTTTTCCATAGATCTGACCTGTAGCCTGGTTCAGTTGCATCACCTGCTTGTTTCCATGATAGATAGCCTTAGTTTCATCATGTGGAACATTTTGGGCTTTGTGCAGTAACATCGCCAAGACAAGCAAATGACAACGCAAAGTTACATAGTGCAACATTAAGAAAAGAGAACCCTTATAACTTATTATACACTTTAAAGGTCCTAAATTGCACTAAATTGATTCCTGTGAGCTTTAACACATGTTCTAATGTAGTGTCCTCATCAAAAACAGACGTGGAGTTGTGTTTTGTTTCATTCACACATGTTTAAGTATTTCTGCATTATTAATTTGTCTACATCTACATCAGATTTTTGTCTAATCTGTAAATAAATATCCATCTATACCTAAAGCAGAGCTATTTATTGTTGAATCTAAGTGTGTTTCTGATAAGTACCTGTAAATTATAATCCTCTATTCAATTCAAAACTTCATTGCCTTTATTCTTTACACTGCACACATTTAAATGAGCAAATTTTAAACCCTTTTTTATCCAACATAAAAACCATGAAATATTCTTGCCATCATTGTTTTACTTTTAATATTACCGTATTTTCCGGGTTATAGGGCGCGCTCTTAAGCCTCCAACCCCATCAAAAAACGACTGCGCGTCCCACAATCCAGAGCGCCCTATACACGAATCCACTCGGGTGTCCCAGCACGACTTCAGTAAACTACAAAGCCGCACTGCCCGCAGAACACGCAAACACACACGGAGCAGACAGCGACCCTGCTGACGAAAAACAACCACACTCATCACTCCATGCGGACGAGGAACGGAACGGAAGAACGAACCGAAAAAGCGAGTGCAATGCGCCACTTCTAGACACAACTGAACAACTGAGTCACTGCGAACACGCCGACAATCCGTTGGTCCCAGACAGCACCCTCCCTACACGCCACAACTGAACTAGGGATGGGCAGTCGATAAAATTTTCTTAATCGATAGTCGGGAGAATTAACAAACAATTATTGATTCATCATTAACATTTTTATATTAAAATTATCATCATTATTATTACTATCTGCACTACTAATCTGCATAAAGAAATTCAACTTTTCGACATATAAACCATAACCACTATAAAGCCACATCAGCCTTTTTGACATTGTGTTTAATGCAGCTTTGCCAAGTCTCAAAGAAACAAAGCTTAAAACTGCATGGCTAACGTCTGTCGGACTAAAGGACACGACTCAGGTGAATACAGGTTAGTGTGACCATATTTGTGTTTGTCAAAACCAGGACACCGTACGGGGGGTGAGAGGTGGGGCCTCGTCATTGACATTGAGCTACTTTCACCTGGCAAAACTTTTTCATGTTTTCGGTGTCCTGGTGAGCTTTGAGGTCCCTGGTACCACCATTGGACACCGAAACATATGTACCTACTTTACACACTGTGCACATGGCCTCCCACTTGTTTCAACCGGAACAAAAAGCGGGGAATTTCTGGTACAAGTAATCGTTAAATGGGCATTTATGTT